TTAACTTATCCTGATGGATTTTTTTTTTTTTTTTTATAAAACAAAACAATGCACATTGTTACATAGGAAAAATAATTCTACAGCTGAGTGGATACTAAGACAGACTAGGTTGCTCAGATCAAGTGTCCTCATCCAGGCAGCAGTATGTAGGCTTACTGTTGTCTCAGCAACAAGCCTACATGTACAGGGGCTGTAGGGAAGCATCCAAACCTTGTGGAGAGAGCTGTCTGTGAAAAGAGAATGAAATTTGCCACTGGCCTTGTTGAAGAAAAAAAATTAATGAGATCCTATAAATATTTTTTTTCTGAGGTCTTTATGAAGACAGAAAAGAGAATGTTTTAGAAACAGCATCCAGTAACATTAGCAGACAATACAGTTGAATAGAAATAAATTACAGAAGCTAATCTTAATTTCTTTCTGTCTCAACAACTGTGTTTGAAAGTTTCACATTGACCTCATTCAGTAGAATCATTATTTATCTACACCTGGTGATTTACCTAAAAATGGTGCATTCAAATACATGAGTGCTTGAAAGGCTCCTGACCTTTTCCTTGTTTTCCTTGCTCTTTGTAGCATTTATATATGCCTGCTTCAGAATCTCACTTGTAGGCACGAGCTGATAAAATAATGTATGTATACAGTATTGTCAAACATTTACTCCGCCTTTTGCCGCCAATTACTTTAATTACATACTTTGCAACTGTGCAATTCTCTGGAGAGGCTGTTATGGTGACAAGTGAAGAGCCATATTCACAGACATTGCTTCCATTCTATCCTTATCATTGGCTAAAGCCCTCGGAGGAGGGTGCTTGCTTTGTATAGTAAACAAGACTGCAGTGGATTATGCTATAAAGCTATTCTGTGGTTAGAGGTCCTCAGACAAAGGGCGCGTTCACCAAATCCTGAAACATTGCTGCTGACATTTTAAAAGTTTAATAGCAAACAATGTGGAAATCAGTTAATGTAATGTACGGCATGTGGATGGATACCAAACAGCTGTTGGCTAAACAAAATGCATTGTCTGCTTGTTTTTCTGTGGCGATATTGAGTGGTTTAGTGATGCAGTATTGGCTTGCTAAAGGAAGGTTTGAAAGGACTTGTCCTGTAGTAAGGGAGTGGAGGAAAATGACTTAGTGTGTGTTGCAGATTTTTGTTTACGTTATAAAAAATGGTTTTCTTCTTTATTAAATTGAACACTCCTATCTCCTTATGTTAGTATTTTCTTTGGACACTCATCTTGATGAGGGATGAGTGCATGAGCCTCCCCCCATATTTCACAATAATGTGTTTATGAAAAAAAGCTAAATATTCTAGCAACCTGCTTCTGTTAACTACAAGTTGATTATGATGGGGTAAAAAATAGTTGTGCTGTAGAAACAGTTTTATTATCTTCTGGCCAAATGCATCTCAAGTCTGTTAATTGTAATAATTTTTTACAATAAATCTGGCAAGGTAAGAATGAAATGGAATATAAATCAAGCAAAAGGAAAATATTAAAGATTCTTAATTGTTCATACCAAAAACCAATACTAGCTACACTCTCTTCAGAAAAAAGAAATCATACACCACTCTCACACATTTTTGTCCCTCCATCTCTCACAAATTATTTTCACACACACCCTGCATATATTTTGTTTGAAGTGCAATGAACTAGTTTTCACAGGCAATCTAAAGATCATTGCTAGGAACCATTATCACAAAGCTTGCAAATGTGTCTGGGGTGTTTGTTTCATGTCTTTTTAAAGAAGGCATTCTTTAAAAGGGGAAAAAGGGTTTTGTTAATAATCTTTTGGCTGGTGATTTGCATGCCTCGTAATCCATATTTTACTTTAAAAAGTATATGTGAAGAAAATGACTGTTAAAACAATGGATTGTCTGTATGCTGCCTTTTCAGTGCAGAAATGTAACGGAAACACAACATATCAGTTTAGTCAAGTATTTCTTAAACCCTTGACTCAAGTGGATTATATCTTAGAGTCCTTCACTGTTGGAGGTCAGAAGTCCGAGGCCATGTTCAACAAATCCCTGAGCTTTGCTTCTGACATTTGATTAAGCCAAATGGAAAACACTAAGGACATCACCGAATCTGACGTCCGCAGTTTAACTCCGGGGAGCTTGTTTATCATCCGTCCGTCTTTTGTCATTTTTAATCACAGTCGGTCTGAACTTGACTGCATTCCCCCTCAGACGCTATGTGACTGAGTTTAATCATGATGTCATGCAGTTTGTTTTTGTTTCCCTTCATCCAGGCAGAGAGAACAAATGGAGGAGGAATGTGCTACAAACATAAAACATGGGAAAAGGAGAAAATAAGATGAGACAAGATAACGTGACCAGAACAGTAACATAACAACTACACCGACGGTGTGTTTTTTCCTCTCCTGCTGTGAAAAGGCTCAAACAACAGAAGCATGAATACAGTAGGCTTCCTCACAGTAAAATCATACTGTAGTACATAATATCTAAATAGCACCTCTCGTCTTCTTTTCCAAACACTTCAGAGCTCTGGCATACTTATCATGTGACCCTAGAAGCCAGTTGTCAGGCTTTGAAGCACTTCAAATAGTGCAATCCACACCTAATAACACTATTCAATAGTCCATTGAACACTTTCAGTTGAACTTATTGCTACTGCCTGCTGCTCTCTTTGGGATTTTTTTTGCCAATGTGATTTTATGTGTTGTGTTTTTTATGTTTCCATGGGGCTGATTCTATCATAATAGATGACTTTATCTGGCCCTGCTGTCTGCTTGAATTGGAAGGCAACAGCCAGAAAAAATCGAATAGAAGTCAACAAGTAGCTTTCTGTTGTTCTTTTTTTTTTACAGATAAACTATCATGATTTATTTGCTGTGACTAAAATAATCAATATGATAACTTGTTCCAACGAAGAGGACATGTATCTGCATTAATTCAAATCAATGTTAATTACAGCTGTTCAAACAGAAACAGAATCAGCTAAAATTATTTTTTTAAAGACCAAATGTAGGTTGTTTGTTCCTGCTATAGTAAATATGCAAATATGAGGTTATGAGCCAGATTGTATAGTGTCTTGAAAATGAGCCAGTGAATTTCAGGCACGTTTTGTTAACATAACCTTGGTTTTACATATGGTAATGCACAAGGCATCATTATAGGAAAGCTCACTAGCATGATAAAGGCAATTGTGTGTCTGTGTGTAGTGGCTCCGACCAAACCATATCCTTCACCTCGGCTCTGCACATCAGCTGAAAAGCCGACAGAATTTCCCATCTTTTATGAGGTTGCTGCAAACAATTTGAGACCTCCTCAACCTGTACGGTCTATTTTATTGCTTACCCTTGCTGAATAAAATCACCCTGCCTATATGCATGCTTAGAATTTATTCAAACTCACTTCAGGCAAATATCACAAATAGGCAAATATTCCAGTTAGCATTTTTTCCTTAACCAATACATTACTGTTACTGCTGCAGAATAATAAGACACACATCAGTTTCTCACTTTAGGTCTGGTGAAATCTTGACAGCATCCTCTTTTACCTTCCCTCCCTAAAAGAAAGGCTGTCAACGCAGTTTTGGTCCTTTTGTTTCTCACCCCTGACAATCAACACCAAGCTTTCTGATCTCTTATTCTTTTTCTTTTCTGCTGTGCTCCCCAAAAGCCCTCAAATGTGATAAATAAATGTGAACAACTGTTGACATAAGTCTTGATTTACTGAGTTTGATGTCAGGACTAAAGCTTTAATCAACAAGGGTAGCGTCATCCATAAATATGGAGTTTGGTGATGAAACCCCAGGGGATAGATGAAGACGCCCATGTAAATGATTCCGTTTGAGTAAGCGTGCTACTGCAGCATATCCAGGCTGTTGGCTTTTGAAGTGAAACATCGCTTCAAATCAACAAATCAGCATAAGTATAAAGTAAAGACGCTTGTGACCTTGGACTATCAGCAGACTAGCTGGGAGAAGAAAGCACTCTGCTTTCTCCCAGCATGCTTGGAGTGAGAATCAACAGCTGGAGTGAAGCTGCTGAGTGGCATCAAATCCAGTCAAGTTAGATTTATTCAAAAAAGCACTTGTAATTAAACCTTTGTCATGACGGTAAAGATAAAAACAGTGAGAACAAACAGAATGCACATTTTGGGTTTTGAAGCTAGAGTGTTCTGAACCGTAGCAAGCCCCAGTCAGATGTGTGTATACTGTATGTGTGAGTAGTTCTTTTCCCAAGCCATAAACAACACTATCTTCATAGCAAGGCGAGCTCCCCTGCACTTTGTTTGACTGTGTAGTTGTTAAAAGTTGACTAAGCTGAGATTTTTCAGTTCATTACTGAGCTCTGTTCTCACTGGACCCAATGGTTTGCATACATAAATATTTTCTGGGAGACACTTTCTCCACATTACTGAGCATTTTATTACCAGTTTTTCATTCTTTTCAGTCTGTAGTCATTTGAAAAACTATGTGCAATACCTATATGGCCTTACATATAGTATTCTTAATGGCACCTGCTTCATACCAAGTGATGTGATCGTACTACATGTATGTGTGCACATGTGTAAAAACCATGAGATGCAGTTAAAATTTAACAAATGGCCTTAAATTTTTTCCACACAAACATATCAAACATCTATTTTTTAAAGCTAACTTTAATCCCCATAACTACTAAATCATGCATGGTGTTCATGTAGCAAGGTCTGTTCATTTCTGTATCAAACAAACAAAAACACTGTAGCCAGTCACACTTTTTCAGTTTCAAACTGTTGTCACACACTGTAGTGTACAGTGGATTGTTGGAGAAATTCAGAAATGCATTAGCAACACAAATTTAACAAAAATAATACAGACATGTTCACAATGATGGATTACTACATGCAAAAGAGGAAACTGAAACATAGCATTGGAAAAATAGTTTATAATGTGCAAGTGGTCAGGTATACAAAATGAGGCAACAGCTATAAAATGGATTCATAATGTGATACTGTAAATCATGTCCTCACATTTTTCCTCTGCCTGTCTAAAGTTATTTGGCAGTGACTGAACAAAATGCCACAACAGCCCACCTGGAGAGCGCCTGGCAGATGGAGAGGAGTTTCTGCTGAAAGTTAACCCTCTTGATGGCATGTGAGTTCAGGAGTCTTGCACACAATGCCAGAAGGAACAGAAGCCTCAAAAAACTCTACATGTCCGAACGGCGGTATCCACTATACGGTGCTTTAATGTGAAGGACGAAAGCATGGTCAAAGGTCTGACAATAGCTGAGTACATTCTGAATGTTGTTTTCATCCATGATTATCAGATGCAGAGGGCATGGAAACAAATAAGGTATGGTCAGACTCTAACTTCCTGGCACATTCAATTACACTGTTTTTAATTTAGGAAGCAAAACCTCAGATACACAAAATTCACCGTAGATTCTGAATACAACCATGGAAGTTGAAAGCTCATAATGGGCCTATAGGGATTCAGATACTCTACAGTATATGTGGTTAAAAGATGCAGAAATGATAGCACAGAGGACATATATGATCAAATGCATGTTATATACATAAGTAATGTTCTATCCAGATTCCTGCAACAGTATGTAGACACCCCTTTTGAAATAATAAAGGATATATGCTGCATGTTCCTTTATTGTTTGCAGTCTTTTGAATTTTTTTGCAGTAAAGTGACTTTTTACTACTTTGAAAATTGTTAACATAATGCACAGGCTGTAGATTTTTTTATATAGTTTTTGGCTCAGTTAATTGCCTTCTTAAAATGATGGATGAAAACACCACCTGTCAAGGCTCGTTGTAACATTCCCGCCCATGATTGCCACAGACTGTATTTCTTTAATGGAAATATGGAACCCTGGCCATAAGTTCTTGTCTGCTTCAAGCAATCTGCCCCCATAGGCCTATTCCTATTTGTGTTGTTTTGAAATTAACCACCCTCTGTTGGTGTGCTGCCAGGAATAGATGGGGTTTTTGCCAATTACATACAGTGGAGTGAATTCTGTGGAGGTTCAGGTCAAATTCTGTATGGTTTCGTGCCCTTAAGGGCTTGTTATGGATCTCAAACTCTTTCCTGTGAACTGTCTTAACCCACGTGGTCAACGCAGTTTCAACCTTTCTATTCAAGAGCACGTCTGTTATGTGATGTCCTGGTAGGTACAGAAGGGTGGGAGCTTTATTCCAATTAATTTTTTTCCCTATTGCTACATTTATGTTGACAGTTAGTTTAAGTGGATCAACGTATCCAACTGCCTTGTCTAAAGCAAAGGCTTAGTATGACAAATAGCAGGGCAGTAAACTCCAAAGGCTATATCCTCAGCTACACTGCACACTCTCTCTCTGTGAAGATGAACCTTTCGAGCTTTGGTGACATGGTTTCAGATATTTCTATAGTCATCCTCAGAGCGCCGTGAGCAGCCTGGGAGCCTGACAAATATCCACAGGTCACTGTAAGAAAAAAAAAGTGAGATCAAAGACTGAACAGCAAAGAGATCAATTAAGATGGCTTTATTCGACAGCATGTCTTCCCTTCTCATACAAGAGGAGGAGACTTCATCTGACACTTCTAAAAACAACACTGCAATGTAATTGGTACAAGAACTAAACTACACTGCCCGGCCAAATTAAAAGTCGCACCTGTACAATTGTATGCAATTCAGTGCAACACGTCTGCCTTAACATCTGTGTTTATGAAGCTCAGAATGTTTAAGTTTTTGGTGAAATTGTCATAAATGTATATATTCAGTGATATATTTATTATTGTTATTAGTTAAAGGTGTTCTCCCCAGCTACATACATGAGAGGGTCAGAAAATTTGGAAATTCAGACACTTACACCCGAGATTCTGGTGCTGCTCTATCAAAAGCTTAGGGAAGTGAAAATGTATAAATGGACATATGGGATAGAATTATGATACAGCAGAGTGTTGTATGGATGATGCATTTTCATAGGCCAACCCAGAAGTTAGCATCACTCTGGTTCCTCCTGCAATTGTTGGATTATTGCAGAAAATAAAGTCTGTGACAAACAATAATAAATGATACATGTTTAACAAGATAATTTTCACATTTGGGCCTACTTTTATGATTTTTGAAGCCTAAATACAATTGCCAGAAGTAAAAAGCTATAAACGAACTAAACCACAGTCTTATGACTTCAATGTTATCACCACAGCTTTGAATTTATAATCTGATTTAGTAAGATTACCTCTTCTACAAAATCCTTTCTTCTCATCCTGATCTAGCTACTGGTCATGACTGTGTCTGTTAGAATAGTTTGTTAGAATAGATTGAATAGAGTAGTTTGCAAGTATGTGAGCTTATACAGTATATGACAAGGCACTAGTGCAGGAAGGGGGATACTGCCAGGGCTGATTGAATGACACTGTGGCTCATACGCAGGATCATGTTTATGTTGTAACATTAATACAAATCTAAATGAATTAAACTGAAACAATAATTTAAATAAATTAAAACCTCCTCAGCCTCCTCAGGAAGTACAGCCTTCGTTGGGCCTTCTTGACCAGCTGTGTGGTGTTAAGTGTCCAAGTGAGGTCCTCACTGATGTGGACACCCAGGTATTTCAAGCTGCTCACCCTCTCCACTTCGAGCCCCTGGATGAACAGCGGCCGATGAGTTCTCCTCTCCTTCCTCATGTCCACTATCATCTCCTTCATCTTGTCCGTGTTGCGGCTGAGCTTATTGTCCTTGCC